TTTTGTTGTGTGAATTTTCAGCTCCCATCTATGGACACAGAACTTCAAAATATTAATAATGTTCTCAGAAATGATTTGGATGCCATGGTCCAAAAGGTATGTTGTTTTTTGTGGTTTTTTTTGAAAAAATAGATCAATTTTTTTTGATCACTTTAAAGAATAAACTGAAATGTAAGATGTTAGGAAACAGAAAAAAATTGATATTCTGGAGAGTGACTGACAAGAAGAGGGAGACCTATTTTGTTTTATTCCAATTCAAGAAGTTTTAGTTGAGCGTCTGTTATATGCGAAGCACCCTTCCAAGGCCATTGGAGGTCACCCTGGCCCTGCTTTCCTGGGCTCAGTATCCAATGGGTGCAGGGCCCATATTAATCCTGATATGAAGGCTGCCCTCTGCCCAGGAGTTGGCCGCACTGGTTCTCTGCTCCTCCCCRTCTCACACCTGCTTGCCCTCTACCCGGCTCTCTCTTCTTCTTCCCCGTCCTTTGTCTGGCTACTTGGTTTCTAAAGCTTTTTATACCACCTGTTCAGTTGTTTGTTTATCTTGGTACTGGGGATGGATCCCAGGGCCTSGTGCATGCTAAATTCATAGTCTGCCTCAGGACTACATCCCCGTATGTCACCCTCTTAGCAAGAATTTTCCTGGCATCTTGACTAGGTCAACACTTTAAAAATACATTTTTATAGCATGGAAAATATTCTTTAAAGTCCTCCTAGCTATAATTACCCATAACTACCTTTAATGACTCTGTTCCCCCACCAGACTGAGAACCGCACAAAGGCCAGGGCAGCGTTGGTCTGGGATACCATGATTTGTGTGGTGGCTCAACAATTGTGATTTATTCAACCAGTGGATACTGAATATGCAATAAAGATTCTTCATGGACTGGGATTCAGTAGAGTGCCCTGGACCTATAGGAAAGGGGAGAGAAGCTTGTTCACGATGCTGTGTCTTTAAGCATGGCTATAGAGAAACCTCAAGAAGCGATTAACACAGTCTATACTTATGGCCAAGGCGAGTGTCCCCTTAAGTCATTTGACATCATTGATCTTTGCATCCTGGAATCACGTGGCTTGTTATACAGTGGGAATTGAGCCAGGATACCRTGATGGTGACATCTACAAGTCCACCTGTGGATGTGAAGAGAGCAGACACACACAAGCCAGGAGCTTAGCTGCCTTTGAGGGAACAGAGGTTGTGGCCCTTCTTCTTTTGGCATCCAACATAGCTAGACTGAATTGGGGATTGACTAGCCCCTAAATCTTATGAACATTAGAAGCATGGCAGTGACCCCTGGCAGATGGCTGACGGCTCCAGCAAGCAGTTAAACACAAACTGAACCCCTCCAGGGAAGGCCCAATGTTGAGAAGTTCTTTAGAAATACCAAGGCCCTCTCCTGAGTTAGCCCAGAGCCACACAGCTTGGCATGGCTGTTCTTGTTTTAGCCTCACTGCCATTTGTAYTCTCTTTAGGCTGCGTTTGGGGACCTCTTCCCCCTCCTCCTATGAGATTAGATCTCTTATTGGATCATTGCACTGTAAAGTACAATTGTTTTCAAAACTTCACGTTATGTCTGTACCAGTGACTGTTCAGCTCACAGTGTCTTAACCTCAGCACTGTCCTTGGGCTGGTGGGGACAGTCCTGTGCATCATAGGGTGTTTATTAGCATTGCTGGCCTGTGCTTGCACAGCACCCACAGCACCCTAAGAAAACATCTCCACTGGTGTGTGTGTGTGTGTGTGTGTGTGTGTGTGTGTGTTTATGTATATATTGTATATATCCATAATAATTCCTAGAATTGTTGTGGGCAAATAGGGAGATTTTAAAATTAGGGGATACCATATATATATATATATATATAAAAATTAATTTGATCTTTGATTTATTCAATTTGAAGAAAACACTCTCTAAAGGGAATTTTTTTAGAGTCCTGATGACCATAATATGCTCATTTTAGCTGTAAGATGAATGTTACATTTTTGTTTTAATTCTGTACTCCATAATAAGCAGAAAAATGAACACCGGTCAACTGGTTTTCAGCTCACCTTGTACATCAATTAACTTTGAAATATTTTTTAGGGCTACCAATCCTTCAATGACATTCCTAAGAGGGTGCAAGTCCAAACCACGAATATCGTAGCAGGTGAGGTCATCTTCTGAGGTCATTCGGTACCTCTCTTTGTTAAGAACTGTACGGTTGGTCAGCTCAAAGAACTATGTGGTTGTGAATTGTATTGTTCTTTTCTAATTAAAAAAAAAAAAAAAGGTCTCTCGCTAAAACCCTGACAACTAGGTGAAGATCAAAGCCCTTGGATTATGTCATCTTCCGTCAGTGACGCAGATTTGAACAACAGCAACAAAATGTTTCCAAGCAACACAGTTCTGGTCACTAGCCACCAGGTGCTGGGGCTGACAGCTGCACTGGGCTGGTGAGTCCCCATCACGGCTCTCACAGGCCTGAGGGCAGCTGTGTTTTGGAAGGTCACATTCTGACTAATTTCCCAGAGGAAGGGGACCCTGTACATTATTTTATTTTCTAAATGGATTTTAAAATGAACTTCTAAAATTAATTAATTAGATTATGTTTAGGAAGACTGTCAGGACTTATTTTGTCTTTTTGGGAGGTTGTTTTTTTTTTTTTTTCTGTTCATGATGCTGATATAATGGTATGTTAGGCTCCTAAGGTTGTTTACAGACTTGGAGAGACAGAACCTGTGTGAGAGATTCTCAGGTGTTAAATGACTGAATCCTGCCTGTTCAGGACATGGTATTTTGGGGATGTTGGTGGTGACAGAATGCAATATAAGCATTTTTTGTGTGTGTGCTGGGATGGGAATAAACTTATGGTTATTTGCTTAGAGAAGAACTTTCTGCATCTATGCAAGACCATTTTCTTTCTCTCTCCTTTTAACCATTCTTTGTATCTGTTACCAAGTGGTTTAAAATATTTTGTTAGTATAATTTCACTTTGTTTTTCCTTGTAGTGTTCTTTCAGCTCATTAAGAGTTTGGGTAAAAAGCATTTTTCCTTTTTTTTTTTTTAACTTGTAGATGGACACAATACCTTTATTTATTTATTTTCATGTGTTGCTGAGGATGGAACCCAGTGCCTTACACATGTGAGGCAAGAGCTCTACCACCGAGCCACAAACCCAGCCCTGGATAAAGAGCATTTTATCTCATTACAGCTTTAGATGTCTTGTGGGCTTCTTTTGGGGTGATGGAGCCATGAAGAGGTTGCAGACAGAGCTCAGGCGCTGCTGGGACTCCGTTTGGGACTGATGGCGTGCTGTTTGTCTGCAGCCCCCTGCTTATTAACCTGTATTTAATTCTTGTTTCTCCTCTCTGGGCCTCTTATGCCCGTGTGTTCAGTCTTCCCCTGTGAGTCTGAGAGAGGCTGGAGCACTCGGTGTCATTGCCTGGACACACACCAGCATTTCCCAGGGCCAGGCAAGGGCCACGGTGTCCTCCTGGAGATCTAGTATTTATTTTTGTGTCCTTAGTTCCATGTCCTGCCCCTTTGGGCCTGGCCTGAAGTGCCCACTGCATGCAAGGCTGTGCCAGGTGCTGGGGCTGTGAGAAGTCTAAGGCATGGCCCTGCCTGTCCTTTAGCCAGCCATGCGTACAGATGCCATTGATCAGAGCTGGGTGACCTGGCCACAGATGAGCAAGGGAGCCAGGTGGGTAAGGGGTAATGGCCAACTTCCTGGAAAAAGCAGCGTCCAGACTGAGTCTGGAAGGAGGTCTTTGCTGAGAGAGGGCACCTGCCACACACGGAGTCACCACAGCTGACAAGGCTGGGGACTGTGAGAACAAGACAGGCCAAGAAGCAGACAGGGCCCCCAGGAGCTGTGCGTATCAGATGGGGTCCATGTGTCATGTTTTCCGAAACCCCAGTGTTAGGGAAGAGGCCTACAGATTCTTCTGATCCAGAGCCTCCGGTATTTTGACACATGAGCCATTTGGAGGAAGCTGTGAGCCACCATGAAACAACTCTCCTCCTTGTGAGCCACCTCCAAGCACCCGGTCTGTGGTTGCTCTTGTCTGTACCTTTGGTTTCTGGATTTAAAGTTTTCCACCACTTTTTACGCAATTGTGTTTTAGACTAACCCGCCACCTTCACCACTCAGCTACTGCTCGCCATGAACCCTGGTGTCACCTTTGGGAACTGCTCATCCTGTCTCCACTGCCACGGAGAGACTTCCCTGTCTTTCAGGATCAGTGGGCTCTTAATTGATTAGTGCGTCTTATTCCTAGTACATCTGTGGCAAGAATCGATGTGGGGCCGGGGGCTTAGCTCAGTGGTAGAGCAGGCACAAGCCATGGGGTCAATTCCCAGCCTTGAAAAAAAAATTAAAAAGCCACCAAGAATCAGTGTGGTCAGGGCCATCCTCAGCACTGCCAGCTCAGGGGACTCACTGGGGCCCAGGCGGTCCTGATGGGCAGATCTTTCCAGAGCCCCATGGTTCTGAGAAATGAGACCAATGATAATGTAAACTGACCACTGGGAAGTACCTTGCTTTCTGCATGTAGGGGCACAGATGTCCTTCTTTAACACGTCCCAAACTATAGGAGTCAAGTAAAATTGTAACAAATATATCACCTAGGGTCACTTGTTCAAAAAAAGGATCCTAGAGAATTACTGTGTTTCTGGATGCCATTTCTTAGGCTGAGAAGTTAGTGTTTTTCCCTCAAAAAAAAAAAAAAAAACATATAATAGGGCTTCAGTCTTAGATACACCATGCTTTTAACCTCATTACCAGCATATTCTTAAAAAGAGACCTATGGCTCACCTTAACCTCAGTGAGCCTCAGGGCAGTTTTATTAAAATGGGGGTTTAGAATACCTGCCTCAGTGGAATAACCAAATTGATATTTACAAAAGTGCATGGAACGTGGTGGCCATACCCTGTATATGATTTACCTGATTTTTTTTTTGTGTGTGTGTGTGTGGTAACAGGGAATGAACTCAGGACACTGAGCCACATCCCTAGCCCTTTTTGTATTTTATTTAGAGACAAGACCTTGCTAAGTTGCTAAAGCTGGCTCTGAACTCGTGATCCTCCTGCCTCAACCTCCTGAGCTGCTAGGATTACAGGCCAGCGCCACTGCACCGGGCTATGATTTGTTTTTTTGTTGGTTTGTTTATTTTTAGCAAGGTAATGGAAGGAAAAAAAAACCGTGTGGCTTGACTTCATTGATGGCTTATTGATGTCCCCACCCACAGCCACTGTTTTGTGAAGTCATTGCCTTTCTTTTTATTTATTTATTTATTATTAGTTGTTCAAAACATTACAAAGCTCTTGGCATATCATATTTCATACATTTGATTCAAGTGGATTATGAACTCCCATTTCAATGGCTGTTTGCTCTTGTAGAATCCTATCTTATTACAAACCAGTTCATAACATGGGAAAAACTGAAAGTGGCTTGAGCTTTTCTCTTTGGTTCCCGAACAACATTTCTGTGTTTCCCACATTTGAAAATGCATAACCAACGTTGCTTTGATTTCAGAAATCAAAAAGCTCTTAAATACCGTGGGTTCCAAAGTCAAGGATGCAACCAAAGATATTCCTATTCAGAAGTCCTTGTCAGAGTTCAATAGTCATATGGATGAGATTGAAAAAGAAATCAAACAGAAGTTGCATCGGGCAGAAGAAGTTGACTCCTACTGGTGAGTGCCTGCTTGGACTGGTGAACCAGGAGCATGCAACTGGGTGTGCAGTGCCGAAAAAAATCTCCTGTTAGCTCCAGGAAAACCTTAGGAAAGCAAGTCCTACTGAGAAGCCAGGACCTGATATGGGTGAACCCTAGTTTATGTTCAGTCAGAAGGTTGAAGTGCTCACTTAGCACATAGACCCAAACTGAAACAATACAGAGAAGATCAGCATGGCCCATGACTCATAGGGTGGCATGCAAATTCAGGATGACTCCATATTTTTTTTTTTTTTTAAGTTTCAGACCGGAAGTTCTTGAGTCAAATATTTAATGATTTTCAGTTTTGATATCATGAGTGGCTTCTAGAATCTTTSTTATAATTAGTAAGCCAGGCATGTGGTGGGAGTTTAAAACAATAAGTAATCAAGGACATTTGGAAGGTCTTCTTTTCTGATGAGGTAAAGGTATCGAGGTTGGTTCTACCAGAAGAGTGTGGTCTTAAGAGACTGTGCTTGAAACCAGTAACTAAACTCTCCAAGCCCAGGTGAGCCGTGGCTGCACCTGTGTTTGTTTACAAGGTGCAGCTGGAGGGATGTGGTCCTGGGGAGGATGGGTAGCCATGCGGGAGAGGGGAASGGCTCAGGGGCTTGTGGAATTTAGCAGATCCTCTGAGATGTCCAATGCACTTTCTCCTCAGCCTCGTGTCCCTTGGTAGTCCACAGTGCCAAAGCCCATGGAGAGTCCAGAGCCTGCTTCTTACTCTGCAGGCTATTTTTTTGTGCAAGAGAACAAGATAAATAATAAAATGATAACCAAGATGGTGCTCGCGTTTCAGGGTTAGGGTTTCAGTGTGCCCGCCCTGTGCTTTACACAGCACATCTCATTCAGCACTCAGAGTCCCCTGCTTGTGCTCCATGGATGACCCTGCTTTGGGGACAAGGAAGTTGGGGCTCAGGGAAGTGAAGTGACTCACTAGGATGCCAGCTGGAATACGCATGGCAGAGGTGGCCTTTCAGACCCTGTGTAGTTGTGCAATAGTCGTGACCCCAGGATGAATGACTCCCTGGGACACTGGCTGTGTCTTCATTGTGTGTCATTCCACAGCTATCAGGACACAAGACAGAGCCTTTCTCAATGATCTTGAAAACTCATTAGCCATCACAGTTTCACAGGTGGGAGAGAGGACAGCAGTTACCTGTCTATCTGCTTCTCTCTTCCTCTTCTTCCCGCCTGAAATCATAAGCTTATTTCTTTTTCTTTTTCTTTTTTTTTTACAGAGAGAGAGAGAAAGAGATTTTAATATTCATTTTTTAGTTTTTTAATGGACACAACATCTTTATTTTATTTTATGTGGTGCTGAGGATCAAACCCAGCACCCCACGCATGCCAGGCGAGCGCGCTACCGCTTGAGCCACATCCCCAGCCCCATAAGCTTATTTTTAAAAAGAAATTTAACCAAATGAATGATTTAGTAACTCCAAAAGTTTTCTGAGGCCAAGGTCCCTGACGTCTTTAATTTTGTGTCCTGAATATCTGGAACAAAACCTCCCCAGAATGGCTGCTGGTAGCTCTCATTATAATTAGCAAAACTGCTCTTAATTGAATGAAAAGCTTTAGTGGCAACTTTTGTCAAGAGGCAGTAAGCAGAAGCAAATTCTTTGTTTGTTGGTTTCTGAAGTGTTGGGAAGGAGATGTACCCTTGACTGCCCCTTAGCTGCTGGGAAAGGGTGGTGTACATTTGGATAATGCCAGGAAGACTTAATTGAGGATCCATTATCCTAAAATGTCTCCAAAATTGAGATTTCCATTTTGAAGGTGTTTGATTTAGGATGCTCATAAAATTTTAAATGTTCCATGCATCCACCACRCAGAGTATTTCTGGTTCAGTAAGGAACACAATGCCCTAGAACATTACTGTGATCCCAAGATACTTTTGGAGAAAGTCCAGTGGGAAAGAGTCTGGTATTTCTTTATTAGTATTCTAATCATGATCTATCCACGGTAGTAGGTACTTCCACATCAGGAACCCAGGAAGAACTTGAAATTCGTCTTAAGCCATAAGACTTTGATGCTAGAGATTCAACTCAGGCATTTTACCACTGAGCAACACCCCCAGTTCTATTTATTTATTTAGAGACATTCTCAYTCAATTTAGTGAGATCACCTCAAATGTGTGATCCTCCTGCCTGGGCTTCCTCAGTGGCCTGGATCACAGACCTGTGCCACTGTGCCCAGCTTACTGGGTGTTCTTACCAGTAGTCTTGGAGTAGCGCAGGCTGCCCTGCAATGAGCACCAAGGAAAACCKTTGGAAATAAATTCTAAAGAAGGAAACAAACAGAGCCATTGAGAGAGCACTTCAAAGCTAAGGTAAAAGCATCTCACTTGGGCCAGTCCTATCTCAGCATCCCACTGTCTCACCCTCTGAGGGATCCCCAGGACTCTGATGTCAAGATTGCTGGAAATCCCTGGAGGCCTGTGGCCTTGGTCAGCAGCTCCTAGGGTGGGATGCCCTCCCTTGCCCTACTCACAATGACCCTGTGCTTGCCTTACCAGGTGGCTGTGTAGCCTGATYTCCTGCTTTCTGCTGTTACTCATCGTGATTTTTTTTTACCTGGGCTTGCTGTGTGGCGTCTACGGCTATGACAAGCACGCTACCCCAACCACCAGAGGCTTCGTATCCAACACGGGAGGCATCTTCCTCATGGTGTGAGTGTTGGCTTCTCTTGGCACCTGGGTGTGGAAACGTGGGGAGGAGAGCAGGGGCTGTCTGTGGCATTACACCAGACTTGTGCCCTCGGGGCCACACACTCTGGGTTTCAGTGGAGCAGGCGTCTTGGGGTGATGGTTCTGTCAGATTTGGGTGCGTCCATCAGGTAAAAGAAAGCTTCATGGGTTCCACTTTGATTGAGCAGCTTAAAAGAGCTGTTTACAAATGGTGAGCTGCCTTTAAAAGCCACTCTCATGGAGGTCACTTCCAAGTTCACTTTCTTGACTTCTCACTGTTTCTCACTGTGTTCATTCATTCATCCATTCACTCTCCAGCAACTGGGAGGACCTCCCGTTGGACACCGTGCCATGTGGCTAGGACTGCTGCYAGCTTGCCACTCAAGGAACTTGAGTTTAGTAGGGTGTGCCAGCCCCTTGGGGATTTACATAGATAGCCTAAATTAGGGACAGGAACAGAAGTGGTGAGCCCCTGGCACTGCTTCAGAGGCCTTCAGATCTAGGTTCCTGCATTTGGGAACCTTTACTCCAGCAGACAGCAGCAAAGCAGAGTGGGCAGGAGCCAGCAGGTGTGCCTGGAGTTAGAGCCAGGAGTGCCAACCAGGGGGATGCAGGTGTAGTGGCTCTGTGTGCCCCGCAGAGAAGCCATGTGAGCTCCCAGTGTGCGTCTCTGTTCTGATGAGCTCCACCGAGGGTGAGTGGCAGGCTGAGGATGGGGTGGGGGGAAGGTAAAGCCTTGAAACAACCCTTTGTGGAATAGCCTCATGCTCCCGTCTATCTCCTCAAGCCACTAGTATGGGAGTGGCAAGGGCTGGAGAGCAGGGGGCACGCCACCATCTGCTGTGTCAAACATGGGATCACTATAAAATTAATATAAGATTAATTCTTAYAAAATTAATTCTTCAGAGCTTTCCCTCAAATGGGCGCCAGTGTAGCACAAGCCCTTACTAACATTAATGTGGCACAGGGATCCTAAAAACATCCTCAAAGCTAATGGTCTGGGACTGCTAAGGCCAGAAGAAGAACTGCACACACACCCAGATTTAAGAAATCACGCTCCAATGCAAGTACCTCCGAACTGGGAATGAAAAGAATCAAAAATTAAGCCAGCACGGAAAAAAAAAAAGATATTTGTCTTGCCTTTTTGGTCAAATATACACAGACACAGGTAGGAAACCAGTTAAGCATTGCAAGTCGAATAATGCGGGCGTTCGGCAGTGGTCAGGGTTTTTGGAGGCGAGGTTTCCTTTCCACCTTCTTAACTGCTTGAAAGGGGAGTAGTACCTCGCTCTAAACAGACACATTCATAAGTTCTGTTCACAGTTTTTTGGGATCAACACAAAATCTGACATCTACTTTCAAAGAAAAGGAACAGGGAAGTCACCAACAGACTGGTGGAGGTTACAGGCGCCTTCAGTTGAGATGGAATTCTTCTGCAGATTAAGGGATTTCTAAGGAGACAGAGCTCTGTGGAAACCTGAGGGTTGTGGAAAGGAAGAAGGCAGGTGACAGGACAGATTACCTGCCCAGAGGCAGAATGGCTGCGATTGCTTCACTGTTGATCCCGCACCCCCCACCCCCATGGCAGGCTTTGCTGTGCTGGGCAGAAGTCTCCACTCCTTGAGACATCTGGTAAGCAGCTGGATAGATGCAAAGGGGAGCGGGGAATGGCGCAAGCCTAGTCCGTCTCATCAGACTGACCCCCAGGTGAAGTTTTTTCTTTCCAGCTGTCGACTCCCTGGTAGAAATCAGGAGACTYGTGTTTAGTTCTGCTGCAACCCCGTCCCCACCTGCTCTTTAAAAACAATGACACTGTCCTGTCAAGAGCATGCAAGAATTCCCATCTCCCAAAAAGATTCTGGTGAGAGACTGGAGGAGTCTTCCTTACACCTGGCTCTGCCTGGGTCCTGCCTGCCGAGGGTCCCCAGAGCATTTAGGGGTTGAGCAGGATGCCGCGGGGAACATGTTTTGTGCTGCAGCGATGGAGAGGGTTCCCAGAGACAAGGGAACCTGACATATGCAGTGACAATCTCCTGCACTGAAGCTCATGATAAAACTTTGAAAACCATGTCCCCCTCACYTAGACTTATGGGCAACCACAAGCGTAAGGAAGGGGCACATCTGTGTGGCTGGTGGCAGTGGGAAGACCAAAATGCCCTTTGCCCAGTAATTCTTATTTCAGAGAAYCTCTGGCAAGGAAGTAGACCAAACTAGGAAAGAAGCATCCTARGCAGGGGTGTGTTTTTGTGGTTCGATGTATAATAATGAGGCAATGGAGATAGTATATTTCAAGAGATCCCCAGCCAGGTGTGATGACACACACCTGTAATCCTAGTGGAGGATCATGAGTTCAAAGCCAGCCTCAGCAACTTAGCAAGACCCTGTCTCAAAAATAAACTAATAAATAAAAAGGGCTGGGGATGTGGCTCAGTAGTTTAGTGCCCCTGGATTTCAATCCCTGGTAATAAATAAATAAATAAATAAGGTTTTATTATGCAGGAGAGCAATCGGTGGCAGMTTCTCTCTTCCCAGATACATGTTTCTCTCTAAGCTGCTGACTCCTGAGGTGTTCTGTAGCCAGAAGTCTGCGCTGCACATTCGTGTTGAACTCCTACCTGACATCTTCACTGCCACAGGACACATCACTGACATCTTTCTCACCTTCTCTYCCTGTAGGGTGCCTCAGTGTTCCCTGCCACCACCCTGGGGCCCCTCCCCACCTTTATCCTTTCTGGCTGCCTCTGGACTCCTGCATCCCTTTCATCACTGGTTTCTCTCCATCAGCAGTRTCCCATCTGGGCTGAGGCCTGTCTAACCCATCCTTCTCCCTGCACCAAGACTGCTCTCCTTACTAGAGAAACCAGGCTGTGTTCTTCCCAGGCCCCATTCCGTTCACCCCTCCCTGCCTCTGGAGCTGCTGTGGACGCCATTCTCCACTTTTCCTGTGGATGCAGAGTTATGTTGGTCCCTTTCAGACTCTCAAGGAGACACTTCCTGCTTAGAATCTCTCACCCTACTGTATCCTTTGAAGAAAGGATTGGTTCTCAACTGACTCCAGAACCCAGCTCTAGCCCATAATGCTAGACAGCATTCTGGTCTGCTATGGTCTGCCAAGGACAGAAAGACCACAGTGCTGATCCCTTCCCTCCTCACCCCCAGGCTGGCTGATCTGGTCAACCTGCACAATGCAGAGGAACAGGTCCACTTTGTACACTGACCAGGTAGGAAGCACTGCTAGGTCATACAGACTAAATCTTTGCAGAATTTCTGACTTTATCTGTGTTTTTGTTTTTTTTCCCAGTGGAGTTGGATTCTGTTTCCTCTTTTGCTGGATAGTGATGATCCTTGTGGTTCTTTCTTTTGTTCCTGGTGTGAATATGGAAAAACTGATCTGTGAACCTTATGCAAATGGGAAGATATTCCAGGTAAATATGCTTTTCTACTCATTGTGGGAGGACTCGAATGGACACTTGGGTTTCTCCATGTCCTGTGGGTTACTTGAAGAGCAGTGGTCATGGTTTTGGTAGCGACTGTATCTCGCCACCAAAATCATGAGGAGTTTGCTCTTTTTTCTGGGGGTGGCAGTCGTGAGTACCGAGGATTGAACTCAGGGGCACTCAACCACTAAGCTACATCCCCAGCCCTATTTATTATTTTATTTAGAGASRGGATCTCACTGAGTTTCTTAGAGCCTCACTGTTGCTGAGGCTGGCTTTGAACTTGCAATCCTCCTCCTGGACCTCCTGAGCTGCTGGGATTACAGGCGCATGCCGCTGCACCCTGCTGAGTAGTTTGCTTTTAATTCAACAAGTTGATTCTCTTTGCAAGTCCAAAAAGCACACACCCGTACACACACAGAAAGATACATACGTAGTAATATAATAGTATTCTCATTTTCTGATTGTAAATGAAGTCAGTTTCAGGAATTAAGACTTGCACATCGATGTGGATTGTAGTATTTTGAGAGAGTAAAATTCTTCTTAGCAGTAGTTTCCAAAGGAGGCTGGGACCATCAGGAGATAAACTCCAAGGTTCCTCCCTTACCTTTCTTGAGGTTTGTGACATGGTAGATTTTCCCAAGTGACAAAGATATCCAGCCACGTGGTTCATGGCCTTAAATTCAAAGTGAAAGAGATGAATAAGATACACCCCATGGCAGAGGGTCGTCCCAGGTGGATATATGATGGGCAGTCAGGAATGGAATTCAACTTTCACTTTTTCTAAGACCAGCTTCCCCTGACTCTGGGATGCAGATGGCAATTTTGTCTGGCTTCTAACTTAGACTTCCCAGTGTTTTTCTCCAGACTGATTTTTTTTTTTTTAAAGTATGGGCCAATTCTGATTTTTAAAATACAATTTTATTTCCTTCTTTAATTGCATGTCTATTTTTCATCTCAAATCAGGTGAGATGAAATCAGTAAGTGACTACAAAGGCAGCCACTTGTCATTGGTGTTTTGGCAGTTCAGTTAGTCAAGAGAAGTTAAATTGAGTTGATTGATGATCACATTATCTCCATTTGGCTTCTTAATAAAAAATAACAAGACATCAAACCAGGATTTATTATCTCCTGCGTAGTGTTGAATCCTTTAGCATAATTCTTTAAAATTAGAGGATATTTTAAAATAATTTATTCAGATTGAGCATCCCCAATCTAAAACTCCAAAATCCAAAATTTTCCAAAATTTGACAAGGGGAAAATTTTACACCATGAAACTTTTCATGTACAAAGTCATTGAACATATTGTAAAAATTATTCTCAGACTCTGTGTACAAGGAGTATGTAAAATAAGTGAATTCTGTGTTTAGACTTGTGTTCCATCCCCATTTTGTGCACGCAGATATTCCAAAGTCAAAAAACAATCTGAAACTGAAACCATTTCTGGTCCCAAACATTTCAGGTAAGGGATCCTCTTACCCTGCTCTTACCAGGCAAATACCTGGCCATGCACATAAATATATGTAGTCAGAAGGCTGTGAGTCTTCATTTACTGTGTCCAGAGGGAAGTTGTGAAGAAGCTGTGTCCCCGCTTTATGACTTTATATTGGCTAGTTACAATCAAATGGTCTATTTTACTCTCATTTCTAATGTGTTTACTAAATAAAGTTGAGTTCTCAAAAAAAGTAATTTTCATAATTTTTATCAAGGCTGTGGTCGATTGATTTATTCCAGTTACACTATTATTTTCTAGTTTCAGGCTGGAGATTAAAGAGAAATATTGTGATATAAAAAAATCTTTAAAATAATTTAGAGAATATTCATTTTGATATTTGTATGCATGTTAATATAAAAAAATTTAACACTTTTTCTAGATTTTGGACACCCCCTACTTACTAAACAAGGAATGGAAATACTACATCTCTGGCATGRTTCTTAAAAAACCAGATATTGAGCTCACTTTTGAACAAATTTACAGGTACCAATAATTGCATTGTATGTTTTGCTATTTAAATTTTTTTTTCAGGTAAGAATTTTGCTTTCAATCTGTTTCTTTTTACCTTACTCATAAGGCTTTTCAGTTTCAGAGCTAAGCTGTCCTCTAGACTTAGCAAAGAGATTGTAGAAATGAGGCCCCTGAAAGCCTTTGAAACCTGGAGATGATGATGCCTAAGGCCCTTATCTCCAGGTATCTTTGGGGTTCCCTGGATAAGGTGACCCTATGTTGCATTAACAGGAACCTGTGAGAATCAGTGAATGTGTCCAAATCACAGCTGTGATAATAACAATGCAAGACTGGGTGCGGTTGAGAGGCTAAGGCAGGAGGATCATGAGTTCAAAGCCAGCCTCAGCAAAAAGCAAGGCACTAAGCAACTCAGTGAGACTACTCTGTCTCTAAAAAAAAAAAAAAAAATAGAAAAAATGGCTGGGGGTGTGGCTCAGTGGTCAAGGGCCCCTGAGTTCAATCCCTGGTACCAAAATAATAATAATAATAATAACAACAACAACAACAATGCAGGTACAGGGCTGGTCCTGCAGTGAGGCCACCTAGGCTCCCATTCTTTCTCTGCAGATGGGGGCCCTGTGACCTTGAGCAATTCTACTTCCTCTCCATTCAATAGGGATCATGACAACAGAAATCTCACCTTGGGTCTTTTGGGGTCCAGTGAAATACATGAAATTAGAACAGTACCTGACACTTTATAAAGACATGACAACAGGCGTGGGTGTGGCTCAGCGGGAGAGCCCTTATCCAGCATGGGAGACCTTGGGTTTAATCCCCAGCACCACATAAGCAGAACAAATCATGGCAAAATACCTGTTCTTACTTACGCTTGTTCATCAGCACATTTAAGCTCCTGTCTGATATACAGATTTCTCTAAACCTTTAAAACCTTCTGGAATCTTTAAGGTTTTACTTGCTGCTGCGGTGATGTGCCACAAATTGTTCTCCTGCATAATGGAAAACTTTTTTTTGGGGGGAGGGGTACCAGAGACTCAACCCAGGGGTGCTTAACCACTGAGCCACATCCCTAGCCCTTTTTATTTATTTAGTAATTTTGAGACAAGGTCTCACTAAGTTGCTTTGGGTCTCAACAAGTTGCTGAGGCTGGCTGTTTTTTATTATTATTATTATTATTATTATTATTATTATTATTTAGTTGTGAATGGACACAATACCTTTATTTTTTTACGTGGTGCCAGGGATCTAACCCAGTGCCTCATGTGTGCTAGACAGGCGCTCTGCCTCTGAGCCACAACCCCAGTCCTGAGGCTGGCTTTGAACTTGTAATCCTCCTGACTCAGCCTCCTGAGCTGCTGAGAAGACAGTCAGGTGCCACTGCGCCCAGCCCTTTTTTTTTTTTTTTCAACCTTTTTGTCATTTGCCTCTTTGCACCTCCAAAGAGGGGGACACCCTCTCCTTGGCAGTGAGATCATAGCCGAGTGAGTTGAATTGACCTTCTAAATCTTCCTTAAATCCGTCTCCTCTCCTTGCTTGCGGCTTCCCATTTCATCCTGCAAGTGTCTGGGAATGTGAAGTGACCCCACCAAACAGATCACTTCCCGCCTTAATGTCAGCAGCTCCACAGTGCCACCAGCTGAGGTCACAAACAAGTGGTGCATGCATCCACCCCTCTCAACCTGTACTCTGTTAATCAGTTGTATACTCTTCAGCTTAACCTARGGAGTCTCAGGGTCTTTCTCAATAGAAAACTCTAAGCAGACCTTATCAACCCATTGGAGCCTCTGGGCACAATTGAGCCTGCTCACCATCCCCAGGCTGGGAGGCAAGGCCTAGCATCTTAGCTGGCATGCAGCAATTTGTGACCAGCTCTTGCAGAACTCTGCAATATTACCTTTGTTGGTGCATGGAGCTCTGGGTTCCAACAGCACCACCTGGTTGTTGGAGCAGGTATCACACCTCCTAGGAATGTGGGCAAATTACTGCTCATGGCATCCTGCAGGGGCAGAGAACACTGGCTCTTGTGGCAAGGAAGACATTCCCCTATTATGTGACTCTCTGTGTGGCAGGAATATGAATCCTACCAGCCCTATCCTTCTTAGCTCAGTTAGATAAGCACTTCCCCATTTTAGAGATGGGWTTGAGGCATGGAGAGCTGAGGACATTTCACCCAGGTGACCAGATTAGTTTTATGGGCAAACTGCACCAAAAGTCTGGATGTCTGTGGGTCCTCACCATKAGAATAGATGTCAAAGCATATGTTTAGTCAATATAGCCCAGCCCTGGAAATGGGAAGGGGAAATATTCTTGACAGGGGCTTGATAGAATCTTTTAATAAAGCCTATGATGCACTTTGCAATGCACCTCTTTCTAGTGAGTGTTATTTTTGTATTTTTTATGAGAATTTATTTCTTCCCAGTTTGTAAATTTGTCCACAGCAGTACAGACAACAGAGTAAAGGAGACAGGTGCAAGGACACATTCATCAGTGCTATTGTATCTGTTCCAAAATTTGGACTGTTAACAAAAGAGGAAAATAAGTCAGGAGTGCCAGGTGCCAGCCATTCACGTGGTTGTGGGTGATAACCTGAACCCACTTAGTCACAGATTGCACAGCAAGAAACAGTTAACCTCCCTCCTCACTCTCAGATATGGACCGAGGTCACCATGCTGCTTTTCTGGGTCATGATTTCTATGTTTGCTCCCACAGCGATTGCAAAAACAACAGAGGAATTTATTCCACACTTCAACTCGAGAACCTCTTCAATATCAGCGAGAGTCTCGACATTCACAAGGTGAGTCCTTAGAAGCYAGTTCTGGGCCTGACACATTGTTTTACTAAATCCAGTTGTTTTTCCTTCTTTTTGTTAAAATTGCTGTGAAATCTGCAAAAGATAAAACAAGCCACTTTAAAGGGACATTTAATATGTTCAGTGTTAGGCAATCTTCACCTTTATCCAGTTCAAAACATTTTCTCACCCCCAACCAGTTGTCTTTCTTGCAGTGTGAGGTCTTTGATTTTTTATGCAAGAGCTTCCCAAGRGGCCTCACTTAGGACATGCCCCAGRGAGAGATTCCACTTCACTCAACATAGATATTCCTATGAAAGCAACCCCCACTTGCTTCCCAGGGAGGCTGGTTCTCCAAGACCATCACCCCTTGCCTGACAGGTCCTAGGTTTGGGAAGAACAGTCCACACCATCCTTATTCCTTATGATCACACTGTGGCCCCAGGACTGCAGGGTAGTCTCTGCTGAACCATGGCAAGAAGGAAGGATGGAAGCAAGCCAGATAGAATGACTTTCCCTCCCATTTTGCTTCAGCCCACGCCCCAGTCTTGACTCTTAAGACTCAAAGAAAAYGCCATTCCAGAGCATGCTGGTCAGAAGAAAGAGGAATAGAGTCCCACTGCCCCAGTCTGGAGTGCTGTTGGCCCAGACCCTTCCACTCCMCTGTGCCTGCACGCCTCATCTGGCCTTCTTGGTTGTGCAGGAAAGAATGTCGTCCTCTTACTTTTGGGCTTCCAGCTCGAGAGCAGATTCCAGGCAGAACTTAAGGAAGAGGCATTCACCAAGTCCTGCAGCTCTGGCAGGCCAGTAGAGAGACCATGGGGTCATGATGWCTTGACAGTTTTCAAATGTGAAGAGCTTTATTCAAAACCTGCATATGAATTTTGTTTTGATTCTCTTCCCTAAATATTGCTTATTGTCCATAAATAAAATGTAATTTTGTCACCAAATCCTAATTAGGTGTCCTCTTTCCCCTTGTCCATCATGCCATGGGCCACTCTCCTTGTGCTGTGCTGGGTAGCAGTTGAGAGTATCACTGGGACACTGAGGCACTCCCTGACTTCTGAAACTACTGATGGGCTACTAAGTCAACCCCAGGTCAACCACGGCATTCCCATGACCTTTGCCCAAGTAACTAAACACTGTTTCCCAGAAGACGTCTCCCATGTCTTTCTCTTGCCCAGCTCTAGTGCAAGGCGGTCCCTTCCCTAGAATGCCTGCCCACCTGTCCCTGTCAACATCTCTGTTGGGCAAGCCTGGGTGCTCCAAAGCCACCTCCTCTCTACCCTCTGTGCTCCCAGCCTCTTTTCTTGAACTCCTCTCTCCCTGGTGCCCTAATGGAATTCTTGTGCCCCTCTGATGACACAGCCTCTTCCTTTTGAGGTCTTTGACAGGGAGATGAGATCTTATTTTGCTTTGTACTTGAAAAGTGCTGACCACAGGATATAAGAAGCCATGGAGGCAGGGGAGGAAGAAATCCCAGTCAAATATAGATATAAATACACACCCATGTATGAATATATACCGTTTCTGCATGTGTACACAGACATACGTATGTGTGTRTATGTATGTATGTATATTCTTGCMTAGTTTTATTGCCCTTTTAAAGCATTAAGTACTTGACATGCTTGGAGAGTAATGGCTCGGTTTCCACGTCTTGTTTCATCAGCATACTGACGACATAAACAATCGACTTGAACGTCTGGATATAAAACTTGGTGGCATTGTTCTTCTGAACGAGGAAGGAAAAAACAACCTCAAGGAATTCTCTAATAGTGGGATAGACAATATAGATTATGACACCCTCTTGGCTCAGGTATCATCCACTTATGCCTGTGTGATTTGGGGGAGAAAGTGGGGCACCAAATGTGTGTACTTCATTTTTTAGCGGTTTTTTTTTGTTTGTTTGTTTTAATGAGAAGAGATTCAGAGCATGAATTGCAATTTTAAATTGTGCGGCTTAGTGACATTTAGTATATTCACACTGTCACACCCTTTTATTCTACCTGATTCTAAAACATTTTTATCACCCCAAAAGAAAAGCTGTGCCCGTTAACAGTCTTCCTTTGTTCCCCTCAACTTGGCAGCCATCGGTGTGTGCTCCATTTCTATGGATTGACTTATTTGGATACTTCATGTAAATGGAATCATACAAGAAGTGGCCTTTGGTGTGTAGCTTGATTCTGAGGTTCACATAGCATGTTTTCACCCACGTCTTAGCATGTGTTGGCATTTTATTCTTCTCTATGGTTAAATAAAAATAATGGGTATAAATTAAAATGCAAAAGTCACCTATGGAGGAGTTTCTTCAATCGGTGGCCTATTAGATGTTGTTAAGGATTAAAAATCCCATAACACACATTTTTTATTTCTTTTGTAGAGTAAAACCTCTCCTGGAAAAGTGAATCTTGTATCATTTTCATATGATCTGGATACAAAGGCAGACCGTTTGGTGAGTTCACATAGTTGGCTTGAGTGCCGTAGCAGGGTAGGTGTCTAATGTCAGTGCCACCAAGAGGGAAGCTGCTGCAGAGGTCCCTTTCACTGTGAGTGAGTCCAGCCTTGCTGACCGCCCCTCCCCTCCTGTGCACGTGGAAAGTTGCCCTCCGTGCTCATTGCTGTTTGGCCTCGATGTCGCTGGAAGTTTCCAGGGCCCACCTCCATCCCCACCGACTCCTTCACCCTCAGACCCCCCCAAGTGTGAGCACATGTGCTTCTGTATGTGCAAGCACACACATGTCACTTTCCTTGCAGCGTAGGGACCAGAGAGAGGACCTGGGAGAAGTCCCACAGGTTGCTTTGCTGCCTCATCAGCCATAAGTGGCTGAGGAGGGCAGAGGCCCCAGTGGGCCCACAGACTCTGCTTTGTCATCGCCTTCGCTGGTCGGTGACTGCATGGCCTTCACTGGCCCCTTGTAGCATTAGACCACGGTGATGAGAACGTGGGCTTTGGAGGAAAACCCAGGTTTAAACCCTGACTCAGTTTCCTTCCAATGGTCGAAGCTTGAGCAAGGTATTTCAACCCTCTGTGCCTCAGTTTCCCCATCTAGCAAATGAGGGCAGTCGTACTTTTGGGATTCTTAGAGTTGGCATGCCAAACCCCATGTTAAGTGTGGGTTAAATATAAAGCTCTCGGTTGAACTTTGGTTTTCTCATCTGTAAAACAGAGAAACCAATGGTGGCTCCACCTCCTGAGGCAGTGGTGTGGGAACCCAGTCTCTGGCACTCAGAGAGGGCTCATGAGTGCAGGTACTGCCTTGTCCATGGTTCTGATCCGAAACAGAACATTTTGTGCTGCCCCTTTCCGCCAGCCCTTGTGCCCACCCGTGGCCGCCATTGCCTAAGGAGAGCCATGTGCTTATGTTACAGCTGCCRGAGTCTGGAAGGATCCTGTGGATCTTGACTTATTTTCTCTTTGTAGCCCCCCGGACAATTAAAGCAGTCCATGAAGTCAGAAGCGCAAACTCTTAGAAAAATTCACCAGGATCAAGTCCTTCCCATGGAGAGGACCCAGGTAACATCAGCTACCTATGATATAACGGTGACCTGAGCAAAATGGATTGCACCTCCTTGACTTAGATCTAGCCTGAGGCCACGTGCACATCTCATGGAGGTCTCGTCCAACTGGCCTCAGCCTCAGCAATTGAGCTGGGCTTTGAAGAGCACAAAACTTAAATTACACCACCCCTAAGTCTTATTTTCCTCTCATTTTCCCAGTGGAGTGTGAGCAGTTAGCTTTGGTCTGTGCCYGGCCCCCACTCCTTGCTGTTAACACACCCTCCAAAGCCAGGTGTCTAGCACATCAGGTGCTGATCATTTTGCTCTGGACTTACTCTCATGTATTCTCTAATTCTTTCTCTCCAAACTCTGCCTAGAAATATGTGAAAGTGAGGGTAAGTGCTTTTCTTCCTGCGTCCTGTCTGCTCTGTTACTGTCTCGTTGACCATTGCTGCCCTTCTTCTCTCTCCCATCCCTCCCCACCTGTCTCATTGCTTGAGACAATCAAGGCAGGCTTGTAGCTGAGCGAGAACAAAGACTTTGGAGCCAGGAAGATCTGGCTTCAGGGTCTGCTTCTGCATCTCCAAAAACTATAGTATCTCAGTTTCCGCATCTAAAAACAGAATATTAAAAAATGAGATATAACAAGGGTGGGAACGATTCCTGCTACTCYGTGGTTCATGGAGATGTCAGACCTCTGACCTCAGAGGACTCAGGAATCAAAGAGTTGTTGCTAGACTTGCATGTGGGTCATACTCGCAGCTGTCAAGGGGGGAATTGTGTGGAAACTGGGTTACTAGGTCGGTTGCTCAAGTCTGGAGATGGGGGTTAGGTCTACCTGCTCTGACATCTGAACCTTCCTGATGGAGTTTTTTCTCTGTCTCCGTCTCTCTCTTCTGCCTTCTGACTTCCTAGTTCCATGGAGGATGCGCAGTGTCCTCCTGTGGAGGAGCTCACTTCCCTGTGTGCCRTGCTCATCACACTGTTCTGCTATCCGTGTTCAGATCAGAGCAAATCTGTTAACATTGGAAGCTGCTTTTGCAGCTTGTCTTCAACCAGACAGGACCCCTTGGCCTTTTCAGAGTTAGGGCAACTTGTCCACAGAAAGACAAGAGGGTCAGCCAACTGCAGTCTGAAGGCCAAATCCTGCCAGCTTTTGTAAACAAAGTTATTGCAATACGGTGGTGCCCAGTTATTTCCAAACTGTCTGTGGCTCCTCTTGGCTATAGGGTGAAGTAAAGTGGAGTCGTTGGAACAGGCCATTGCCCCTAAAGCCCAAAATATTCACTCTCCAGCCCTTCATAAGTTTGCCACCCCAAACCAAAATCATTCAGGGGTGCCACATTGTAGGGCAGGCTGTGTTTTAAATGCCTTTCACTTTGATCAAACCAGTTTGAAGGCGTTTTTTGGGCACCTTGCATATGATCTGCACCCTTTCCAAGTTTTTGAACAAGTATCCTGATTTCTTACACCAGGTACACATCGTTACTTGTTGGTTTTTCTAGAATGAGACCTTTGCAGTCTAAGATCAGATTGATGGCTATTATGGGGAGCGGGGAGACACATGCCATGTGTTCTTGCTCCCTTGTTTAATAGTTTTGACAATATTTTCTGTTTTTTTCACCAGGTCGATGTACAAAAAAATATCAAGATTCTTCAACGCACAAGTGGGGGACTAAAGGCAAGGATGCATTTTGTTTTTCTGTCACAGGGTTTGTCATTAAATACCATGCATAGAATTTCAGAGACATTGATTTTTACAAGTACTTTAAATTTTAAAGAAAGTCTCAGGTATGTACCCATCTAAATACCCAATTGGGTTTTCCTACCATTTCCCTTCTACTTTTGCTTCCATAAATGCTGACCTCTCCTAGCAGGTTGTCTATAGAACTGAAATCTATTTTGATGCGTAGAAACTTAGAAGGTAACATGGGGCAATCTCACAGAGCTATTGACGCCTAACAAACCAGTGTGAAGGCTCAGTGAGCTCACTGCTGGGCTGCCCACAGGCTGCTCGACTTATCTCCCCCCTTAGATAGGCAGCCTGAAGGAGCAGCCTCTGTCATGGCCACCTCACATGCTCTTAGTGGGTACATGAGTTTGGGGTGACAGGACCACAGTTGTGTTTTAAGATACTGCTTAGAACTAGCACATTCCACGTTGTTCATGTTCCCCTGGCCAAAGCARGTCACATGGCCACACCCATGATCATCATGGTCAGAGCAGAGAAGTACAGTTGTCCCTCACTGGGGGAGGGGTTGGTTCCAGAACCCTCCATGGACACCAGAACCCATGAGTGCTGAAGTCCCTTGCATAAAATGGCATACACATTATTTGTATATAACCTCTGCACATCTTCTCGTATACTTTAAATTCTCTCTAGATTACTAAGACTACTCAACGCAATGCAAATGCTACATGAATAGTTATTATACTGTAATGTTTAGGGGATAATAACAAGAAAACAATCATATCTATATGTTCCGTATACTTTTTTTCCAAAAAGATTAGTTGAATCCCCAAATGCAAAATCTATGAATTTGGAAGGCCAACTATGTGCTCTAAGCCCTGAGAAATCATGCCAGAGAAGGTGTCAATCATCTGGAACAGTTGCTGTGCTCCACTGCAAGAGTACCCTAGCCACAAACACTCCCACAACAGAGACTCAGCTCTGTGGCTGTGCTATATTCATCTTGTACACAAAATGCCAACAAGCAACTCATTAAGGAAGAAAATATTTCCTTGTTGAGTAGGTAGGCTGCCCACAAAGGTTTGGCTATGAGCCCCACAGTGAAAATCTCGGTGTTCCTTCCTTCACTGTTCTCCGTGAACCAATACCAGGACTCACTTTCTCTGAAGACATTCAGGTTTACTCTGCACTAGGACCATCCCTACACCTCCAATCCCTGGGGCCATTTCATCATGCTTTATCCCTTGCCAAGGGACCCCAAGAGACACCCTGCTGGCTACAGGCCTTTTGCTCCCTTTGGAGCAGCAGTGCATGCCATTTGGGATTGCATTCACGGGGCCCAGCCCAGGGAGCACTAGGGCCAGGACTCAGTCGTGACACACTGGTCAGGCTGTGTTGCTCAGCACTTTGGGCAAAGGAACCCTTCTTCAGATTTTGCACCAAGCTCTCATGCAGGTTGGCCACAGTGCTATCTTGGAATGACAGTGCAGGCAAATTCCCACACCTTAGTATGTTCTCAGCTTGGTGGTCTTGAAGTCGTCAGCCACCTCCTCCGGGAACAGTGGCCAGCAGCACCCTTCTGCCCACTTTGCTGTGAGTTCTCCTGGAAGGAAGTCCTACGAAGGCTCCACTCCAGTGCTGGCCCCCCAAATGCCTGATCTTGGCTCTTCTCCTTCCCCTACCCTCAGGTGACTGGGCCAGGTCTTGGTGGTATTGGACTGGGGCACCAGTACTCCTGACTGTCCGGATCCATGGGGTCTGTATCTGCAGGTCCAGCCAGCCACAGAACGGAAAATATTTGGGGGAAATAACTAAGTCTGTACTGAACGCATACAGACTGTTTTTCTTCTCGTTGTCCCCTAAAAAATACAGTGACAATTATTTGCATAGTATTTATATCGTGTCAGGCATTATAAGTAATTTGGAGATGACTTAAAGTATATGGGAGGGTGTGGGATRTGTTGGTCACCTGTCATTTTACACGGGGACCTGAAGATCTTTAAACTTGCTATCCCAGGGGCTCTTGAAATCCGTGTTCCCAGGGACAGCTGCACTCAAATTGATTTTCATATTGTCTGTTTAATTCCTCTTATCACTTGATCCCCTTCTAATTACTGTTCTGTTTTCCAGGAGAAAGTGTCCAAGATCCTGCAATCTTTGGATTCTGTTCAGGTCTTCATAACAAACGATATTTCCTCCGTTATTGTGGAAGTGAGTTTTCTTTCTTAAAATAAGCCAATCAATAAATGGGCCTGTGAGCTTTCCATAATTAAGTCTCTGTGGTGTTTGAGTATGCTGTCATCGTTTTAGTGGCATCACTGATCTTCAGTTTCTTTCTAGGAAACGAAGAAATTTGCGAAAAAAATCTTACGCTATTTTGAACACTACCTAGAGTGGGTGGAGCTGGCTGTAAGTAGTTGACCTTCTATGAACATAAATGGGGTGTCCTAAGACAGTCATTGTCTAGGGTAAAATATGGAGGAAGTGAGGTTGAATTCCTGGTAATTGGACTGACACCAGGTAGAAGGGCTTTGAAGTGTGGAGACCAAGACCTCTGAGACCAGCCCACCAGGTGGGAGCCCCTTCCCCCTCCCAAATCCCCTCTTGTCCCTTGGCACACCATTGTGACATGGGTTCCTCCATTTACTTCTCACCTCCTTTGTCATATAACAAAGGGATCAGACTAAAAATTCAGTCTGAACCACTGCTGGATATGTGTGCTTTTAGTTCTCTCAGCAACCCTGAAGGGTGGGTCCTCTAGTTCACATAACATTGGAGGAACCCGGAAACCGAGGCTCAGAGAGAACAAGGTTCTTGCTTTGAAGTCCTTGGATTCACACCTGTGGGACTCATCCGCACAAACCCCCAGTCAGCTCCGCATCTCCCAGGAAGGGAGGTCCTTATGTGAGACGGGCCAAAAGGGTCTAATCCTTGTGGGGTTTGGTGATCTGCTCACTCAGTTTTCCCATGTCCCTCGCCTCCATAGGTCACTGAGAAGATGGTGCCCTGCAAGCCTGTGGCCACCGCCGTGGATTCTGCTTTTAAAGTGATTCTGTGTGGCTTCATTGTGGACCCTCTGGTGAGAGCTCCATCTTCCCAAAGCAGACGTGTTAAACCCATCATCTTGATTGTTTTCCCCCAGATGGAAATAGACACTATAATATTTGTTTATATTAGTTTTCTGTTGGGGTTTATTTTGGTCTAGAACCCAAATCCTAAACCCTAAAATTTAGATCAGTGTGTTATGATACCCAGTAGACCAAAACAGTCACAGTCCTGTTTACAGCYACTCGTTCCTTACTAAAATTACACTTGGAAGTTGGGAGACTCCTCTTGGTGGGAACAATCGGMAAGGAAGACTCCTTGCTATGCTGATGGCTAATATCAGGAGATTCTTCATGTGACTTTCTGCACAGGCCCAGTGCTAAAATCCAGGCTTCATTTTTGTTTGAAAAGTGCTTTAACATGTGACACCGGGGACGGCAGATTTCGGTTTATCAGATTTGTTGCTCGCCCCTGTTCACCCTCAGCTTGCACTGACCCTGTCTGTGGGCAGATTCTCTTGCTTCTTCTGCTCAGAGTGCCGTGGTGGTTTCCCCTTGCTACCACGATGAAGGCCAGCACCCTACAGAGAACACGCCAGCCGAGCATGATGGCGTCCTGCCCACCCAGGTCGCATTATGTGCTGCTTCCCACCTTTCTCCCTGGGCTCCAGACATGCTCATTTCCTTTCACTTCTTCAAAGYTCCCCACCTCTAGGCCTTTGCACATGCCCAACTTCCGGTCTGCAGACCGTCTCCCTCTCTCTTTCTCTCTTCTCCCCACCCTTCCTATGCATTGGACTAACTTCTCCAGATCTGTTAGCCGTGGTTGAGAGCATGGACTCTGAACTCAAATGCCACTTCTACCCTTTCTGAACTCTGACTTTGAAACACCATTGACATTTCCTGAGCTTCATCACCCGAATGGGGCTGTTTTGGTGGTTCAGCTACCTTCCATGTAAAGCCCTTGACACCATTACTGGTACATGAACACCCTCTGTAGCTGTTAGCAGTCCTTTGTTGTTCAGTTTTCTGAACTGTATCCTTTTCTCTGGAAGGATTTTATGATCCTCCAAACTTACAGGATCCCTTTTCCACATTCCCACAGAACTCTGTGCTTTTCCTGAGAAATATAATTGCTGTTGAATTACGCACCAGTGTGTATCTCCACGATCTGGCCTCTGCAACACACACTACACTGAACTGCACGACAGAGGGCGCTGCTGTGCCCTCTGCTGGCACAGAGCATTCCTAAGACATGCTGATCAGAGAACTCAGTGCATCCCGCTCTCTTTCTCCATCTCCCTCTTCCCTGCTCACAAGTTCATTTGCTGGCTGACTTGCATGGCCCTGAGAGGAATGATCCTTCCACTCTGGCACCCCAGGCCATAGCTTATTGGCGGCTTACCCCCCGTGGCAACTTCTTGCCCCATCTGTCCTGTGTTTGGTGGCCCTTGCTGCCAGCTTCTGTGGAAGTCCTCATTAGGCCAGTCCAGGGTTCACCTCATTTATTCTGAAATGACCTCTTCCTGGTCCACTCTCCACCTCCCATCACCAATCCGGCAAATTACCCATCTTCTAGATGCCTCTCTGCAAAGATTGGGGCAGAAAAAGGAGAGGTCCAGAGGCTGCTCAGGGGGATAACAGGCTGGATCTTTGCTGCTGGTGGTTTACAGCGAGGAAGAGCTCTGGGAACCCCATTGCACCAACAAAATAGATGCAGGTTGGCCGCCATGTCTCTTTAGTATCTTGATCACTCCTCAAAGGATTTAGGAAGCTTCCAGGGAATGGATGTGGCTGTCAGAAGATTGGAAAGCCTGGAAATTAGAGGCCAGGGATATGCCGCCAAAAAACATCAGCCAGCTCATCTAGGAGCACAACAAAGCTTCCTGGCCAGGCTGGGACAGGCAGGTGGAGGCTGGTGTCCCAGCTGCCTTCTGCCTCATGGTGGCTGGGGAAGCTGCTCTGGTGGTCCTGCAGCATTGTCCCGAGGCAGGGCTCAGACTTGAACTTCCATAGGAGCCTGGAATGTGCAGGATTACCAGCCAACCGAGAAGGATGCTGATCAGAAGTGGTACCAGCCTGTGTGTACCACAGGGTCACACTGTGYGTAGCTGTTACTGCTTTGTTTGGTAACATTAAGGGATTTGGGGTTTCACTCTTCAAAGGATGACATGGTCTGTGCCCAAATGAGGGCGAATGCTGCTCTTGAGGGAGAAGCATGACTCTCCTGCTGTTGGCTGTTGTCTCATGGGCACACAAGGGTCCAGGGTATGAAATGCAATCTCAGATTTTTCAAGAAAAGACGTTAAGTTCAGGTTTATGTGTGAGAGCTGACTTATAAATATTGGCAACTGTTTTTTAAAGGACACTTTAATTTTGCTTTTTAAGTAAAACATGGTTGTACTCAGCCTGTGGCCCACCTTCAGAGTGGTTAACATGAAACACAGGACTTCCCTCGGGACCCTGGCGTGTGCCCAGCTTTGCTTCTGTCTTGTTGACACACTTGTGTTATGGGGTGGGGCTGCTGCGCCTCCACTGCTCAGAGGCAGAACAAGCGAGAAAGTTTCATGAGTCTAGCTCCGAGAAGGGGCGTGGACTCACACCGCACAGCTGGCCATCCTGCAGGCTGGACAGCTGGGGCAGCCAAGGGAGCCGTGGAGGGCGAGACTGGGAGTTTTCCTGGAGTGTCCTAAGTGAAATCCTGGCTTCACTGCTGGCTGTTTCTGTTTGTCGTCTGGAAAATAAATGTAATAATATAACAAATACAGGCTCTTCTCAAAGTTTTCAGAAAAACAAACTGGATTGTAGCATGTGGCCCTTCAGACAATGGCTGCTTCATGTGACATTCACAAATAATTTTAAAGAACAAAATGAAGATTCATTTATAAAAGATGGCAAAACACATATTTTCCAATAGGCACCTGTTATTTTCCATTGCCCATCTTCAAGTATTTAATTTTCTTAAATTTTAATTTAACTTTTTGATTTCTTTTCCTCCCCAGAATTTGTTTTGGTTTGGCTTAGGGAAAGCTACTTTTCTTTTACTCCCGGCTCTAATCATCGCCGTGAAGCTGGCCAAGCACTACCGCCGCATGGAATCAGAGGATGTATATGAAGAGTAAGCATGAGCTTCCTAGAAGGTGGGGGTCGAAGTCTGGGCAGGGCTTCAAGGAGCTGCTGCATCTGAGCTCGGATGCCTGCAGCTGACTCTCTTCTAAAAAAAAATCTGTCCTGGTTTTGTTAAGTTTTAATGCTAATCCTGCCTTTTCACTCTCAATTAATCTCAACTTCATTAACCAGTCTTCTCATTTCTCCTTTGCAGTTGCTCTCAGTCGGGGACTTGGCATTTCACTTTATGATAACTTTTATTACTATTTTCCTTTCCATCCTGTCATCGGTCCTTGGCTCTGTGTCTGGTGATCTCGTGTGTTTCATATTCATGTCACTCACCTCCTCAACCTGTCTCTCTGGAATGTGCACTATTAATATCCATATTGGAGTACAAATGTGGAGAGTGTAGCTGTAGAGCTGAAATAGTCGCATGAAAATTACTAATTTTGTCTCTACTTTTTATATTTTATGGTGTTGAAACTGTATGCATGGAAATGTAAGCCTTTTTTTAAAAAAATCATATTCATACATGGGATGGGAGAAGATTTATTATCCTACGATGGACTTTAAATTAATAATATCTTTAAATGACATAAAAATAATAGATACATCTAGGTAAAAATAGATTCCAACAGTTCTGAAAAAGAGGACGGGAACACAGAGGGTGTACAAGAAATACTCATTGAAGGAATGAATATTTTACATGTTAAAAATTACTAATCCATACAGAAGTCATTCCCATCTTTGGGAGGCAGAGGCAGGAGGGTCACAAGTTCAGCCAGTCTCAGCACCTCAGCAAGGCCTTAAACGAATAGTGAATCAAAATTTAAAAAGAAAGAAAGAGAGTTTTTTTACAAGTTGATAACACAGACTTTGAGGTCCCAGAAATGTCTCAGGACACTAACATTGCCATGGACCCTTTGCCATTTAGAAATGATTGTCCAAGCCATAGACATTCAATAACTCCTGGTCTCAGAGCTGAGTGCTGAGAGTAGGCAGCTGTGTGCCATCACCCATCCTGTCATGGCCCTGTCTGAGCCCTTTGCTACATATACAGGCCAAAACCTGCCTCCACCATGGATGAGACAACACCCGAGCCCCCACTGGATGCGTAGCTGCACCTCACGTGAGTACTCAGCACTGAGGGCTTAAGAGGTGTGTGTGAGTGTCCTTGCTTACTAGTTTTTACCCATGTCCCTGCACATGAGAAGACTTGCTAACTCTTGGATTTCATTTACTGGACAAAAGGGGAAAACAATAATGATAGGAAACAGGAAAAGCCCTAGGAGATGTTCAGAAATGATTGTCTCTTCCCACTTGCTAGTGGGCATTTCATCCTGGGTTGTTAAGGCAGAAATTCACAATCAGTGACTCCCACCTGGTTGTACTAAAGACCACTGAGGACGATTCTGTAGTGATTCTGGGTGTAATGCACATTTGAAGGAGTTGCCTTTGGGAAGGACCTAGGTCCTCACACTCCTGTGAAGGGCAGAAGCAGAGTGTGTTGGTGTTGGAAGTCCCAGGCTCTTCTGAGGTTTCTGTATTCTATATTCTGTGTGCAGCCCACAGCAGGTTGACAGGCTTTGTTTCAAGGAGAGAAAAAGCACAGACTAACTGCCC